TATATATATATGTATATATATCAGAACATTGAGGTCTAGCTCATCAGTCCAACTTACTGTTCCATTAATAGCAGGAACCTTTCAAGACTCATCAGCTAAACTTTTTAATTCATTACCTTGTCAACTAAAGAACGAAAAAAGGCTTAAAGTATTTTCAAACAAAATATATAAAATCTTGAAAGAAAGAGCTCAAAAGAAAATTGAAAATGAACATTAAGAAAAGCGAATTTATATCTATGTAAACAGTAATAACATTAAATTGAAAGATTTAAAATTTAAGATAAAATTTAGATATTGTTAATCCGATATATATGATTTTTGTGATTTCGTTTTTGTTTTTTGTTTGTGATTTCATGATTAATGTAAAGGTACTCTGTAGATATGTCATCATTAAACCGTTATTATTATTAGTAGTAGTAGTAGTAGCAGCAGCAGCAGTAGCAGCAGCAGCAGTAGTACTAGTAGTAGTAGCAGCAGCAGCAGCAGCAGCAGCAGCAGCAGCAGCAGTAGTAGTAGTAATAGTAGTAGTAGTAGCAGTAGCAGCTAATCGTAAATTGCCTATACATAGCGAGATTTACGATGGAATTTGGAAAACATAATAAAGTGTATATTATATTGGTTATATATATTGCTTAGTCAATATTCAAACGATTTACCATGTTCAAACGAATTATATCAAATTAATTGTGGTATTACATTGTCGCATGTAAATTTTAGTGGTCTTGTGGTTTCATAATAGCATGGGCCAAAACCTCGTGTGTTTTTGGTATTTTCCATCTGGTTAAGTTCGTACCAGCTGACATTCATGTATTGCTAGACATTATCTATCATTTCGATTCTATTTTTGTCTAGTTCCCATGAAAATCTTTGCATGAAACACATTGGTCACCTTCCGTTTTGAGAAGAAAAAAAATTCTATAAAAAAAACTCAATTTCGTTTTTAAAGGAAGATATGTGTTCATCCTTAATCAAAATTTAGATTTAGTTTATGGTACTTGTTAAAAAGATGAAACCTTATCAATTAGTTTTTTGTAGACATAATAGTCATGGCTATTCGCCTATGATGCTAGAACGCCTATTATCCTTGTTTTATTTTTCGTCGACAAAATTTCCATATAGCTTTAGCTAATTTTGATAGCGAAGTAGTATAGGGAATGGGGGTTCTAGCGCAGTGACCACACGAGGATTTTCCGTTTAAAGTCACTAACCCGTGTTTGCGTAGCCCTCATTCCCTATGAGACCCCCAGGATTACCCGTGGGGGTAACAGCGCACTCGAAATATGTTAGTTTACGCCAGGATTACCCGTGAGGGCAACAGCGCAATCTCAACACGGGGCAAGACCCGTGTCAAAAATCCACCTACGGACGACCCCC